GCTCCAGTATTGCACGTACGTATATCAGAGTTAAAATTGTTAAAACAGACAAATTGCTCCCTATCCTTTAAAAAGTTGTTGATCCATAAAATAAGAGATGGGTTAATACCTAAAACATTCATCTTCTCCATTAAAATATGAGATAAGATAAGATAAAAAAGAAAGATAAGCCCTATGTCGTATTTTTTTTCTATATGGTGGGGGGGGGGGAATGGTGGGGTATCACACCGGGTCATAAATTACTAACCGGGAAAATTATTACCTTTGCCCCCCTCCCCCCGACCCAAGACCCCTGTTACGCGCCTGTCATTTTTGTAGGGATTGCCACTGAAATAACCACTGCAGGCTAATATTCAGTTAACGGCTATGTAAGACTTTATCTGATATAGAGTTTCTTGATGTGTACAGTGAGAAGCCTTCGGAAGAAATCTGGCCATTTTTATTTGTAGTTTTTTAAGTCATTAGCATATTTTTTTTGGAATTGCTATGCCAGGCTTCATGTACATAATTTATAGAAGCTGGGGTGGGGGGCTGACGGGGAAGGTCCTGTCGTGAAAGGAATTGAACCCGGGGACCCTGGGATTAGAAGTCAAGCATCTCACCCACTAAGCTATTCAACTCCACTCCACAATTCGTGAGGGAGAAAAAATTTATGTATTTCTACATATTTTGCAAAATATCTATTTATATAAACCCGATTAAATTTTAGTAGTTGTATGGCGCAACAAAAAGAATACAACAAACTAACTTATATACCGTAGATAAAATTTATTTCAAGTGAAAAATGCTTAATGTAAGCTATAAAAACACTTGGCTATCGATGAAGAAAATAAAACAAAATATTGCAAAGTAAGGTTGAGGTAATAATCCGTATAAGAACAATTCGAAAGTGTGTGGTAAATAGCAGTAGGAATACTCTGTTATATTGGGGTAGCATCCTACCATATTTGGGAATATACTGAAGATGAGGTAATGACTAACCAATAGAAATTAAGGATAAATACATGATGTCATTGTTTAAGTTTAGAGAAGTGGGATAAGTCATCCTGGCACATTCCTGACTTGTGTGTAATCTTATTTCCTGGTACCATGAGGAAAACAGGTTGTTGTCCTTTGATTGACCTTAAATGCTGAATACAGTATAATATATAGAGTAAGTTTACAAGTGAAATATAAAAGATTATAGGCCTATATACAAATTCAATATTGCTGTTTAAATGCAAAGTAGAGACGCTACAAAATAAACCTCTGAAACCCCTAAATTTTCATATTTTTCGGGAGCTTTGCACCTTGGACGACTTTCCAAGTATTTTTTACGAGTTGAACACACTCAACTTTTTTTTATACAGTTTGATATTAATATGTAATATGATGTCATCGTACCCATATATGGGCATATCACATTTTTTGTCACATGAAATTTTATATTGTAGACAAAGCGTTAGGCCTACATTCCATTCACTTGGAATCTTTTTACATGGTAGTCCCAAATTTGTGTTTTCTTCAAATATATTTTTCTATATTTTAATCATATTTACTTTGGACCAAAGGACCTTCGGACTAAAGGCCCTTTGGACCAAAGAACCTTTGGACCAATGCACTGACCCCAGCCTAAAGGCCTAGACAGACATGGCTGCTCTGGGATACATTTTCTGGGGGGGTGGGGGCTAATCTGGGGGATTGAGCTTGTATGCCTGAAGAGGGGAAGGGTTTGGGAGATGAGATTTTTTTTTTAAAGGGAGCTCTCAATGATATGGTAAACTCCGACCATTATGGACGAGCTGTATCTTACTATTCAAATCATACGGCCTGTCTATGCGAATTAATTGTGCTTAGTGGCTACATTGAACTAAATCGGGTCCAGAAGACAACGCTTTGCCATTTAATGTCCTCAGTATTAAAAACAGGATCTTGACAGTAGTTGGCGATGATATTGTAAACTCCGAAAATGATTCACTTCATATTGAGCTTCGAATTAATGAATCCTTGCACACAAAAATTCTGCAGTAGACGTTACATCATTATTTTTTACTAATTGAGCTGTCTGATAGTTGAGAGTGAGCTGTCAAATGGTCCAGAGGGAGCTGTTAGCAGCTCCATAAACTTACCTTTAATTGGTTTTAAGAATGTCCATTGGGAGTTAACAAAAGAGTCCTGGCCAGCAACATATAGCCATTGGAATGTAAACAAGAAACCCATTACAATCACTCACTTCATCTCTCGGGCTTCAGTGGCAATAAATAATTTAAAAACCTTTCACTATTCAACAAACCAGCAGGATGTATAACCCGGGTTTTTTCCAAAAGCCGGGTGCCATGGACTAGTTCTGTTAATGACCAAAAATGCAGCATGGGTGGTTTAATATATTGTTGTCTAGTAGGCCATGCCAGTACCCCCAACTCCGATATCGTTTCAAACTACTGTAAAATGAAAATACTGTATACCTACATAGGCCTACAAAATATAATTTTTTTTTGTATGATTCTACTAACTTAATTTGCCTATCAAATAACATAAACAATGTGGTCAAAAATCACTATTTTGGACCATAAAAACTTACTCCTTCTGAATTGTTCATGTTAAACCACCACACAAATTTGACCCAACCTTATATTTTCTGATAAAGTCATGTATCATGCATAGGAACGTTGACGCCTGCAAGGCTCTGGTTAATATTAATATTATTATTATTGTATTATTATTATTGTTGTTGTTGTTGTTGTTGTTGTTGCTGTTTATTATTATTATTATAATATTAATATATTTCCCCACAGATCCTGGAAAACCAACCATTAGTACATTAACTTCAACGTCTTCATCAATCACACTGGAATTGACATTATCTGATGATAATCCTTGCACAATACTAGGATACAATGTGCTTGTATATAGTGATTTACAGGATTTAGAGTTCAATATAGATACCACAGCGACTTCACTGACAATTAATGAAAATATAATGCCGAATACCAACTACATTGTCCAGGTATGCAATATAAATTATAAACATAAATATAGTACGAATGCATTAAATATATCTAATAAAATATATGATACTAATAAATGTCACATGTCATCATCGGTCAATCTTAGATTATGCTATATCGGTATATTTAATACCGGTCAAATATATGGCAAACAATCAATATCAAGGTAGGTTATATATATTAAAGCTGAATACTGTAGTAAGTCATGTATATAATTGGTTAATTTATCGCAGGATTTCCCAGAGCAATTGCAAAGGGCTTCTTTAATTTTGAGTTAATAATTATGATGTAAGTTTTTTTTCAATTTTTAACTACAGTATTTCCAACAAAAAATAAACTCCATGGTCAATTGGGTTGTAAGTCTAAGCAGCAAACATAATTTAAATATCACTTCCTAGCTTAATCTTTTCTTAAATATTTACTCCGCCCATACTCCGCGTCAGTTGCATGAGAGAAAGTTTCTGGCGATTACATCTGACCTCGGGAGCCCATTTTTCGACATATGCCCCCGGACTATATACCGAATTAGGTATTTGTGATCTAGCGGAGCACTCGCCTGGTTAGTAAGTGGCTACAGCTTCGAATCTCTGAGGGGACATTTCTTCATACAAATGACAACCAAAAAGAAACTTTTATTTGAAGGGTTATGTTTAATACCATTTAAATAAATAAGTTAATTAATTAATTAATAATAATAATAATTCTTTCCGAGCCACTGGGGCTCATATGGCTGGAGCTTATCCCCAGTTTCTATAGTGTGAAGCGGATGAGAGTTGTACTCCCCCTGGACGGGACACTAGTCCATCGCAGGTTAGTCCCCAGCAGTTTGCTGGTACCCATTGATACAGCTGGGTGGACTGAAGCAATGTAGTTAAAGTACCTTGTGTACCCCAGGACACAAGCGAATCTGCACAGCGGAGACTCAAACCCCGACCTTACGATCGAACCTCAACCGCTGCGCCAAACTGCCGCTATGATGATGCTGATTATTATTATGATGATGATGATGCTGATGATGATAACACCAAATAGATAGTTCTGAAAAGAAAATGAAAAGAATGTCTTGAACTTTGATTGAGTTGCTTCAGTACCCTTCTAAACAATTACTGAGACTACGTGTGAAAATACTAATACGAATGCCTTTACCTTTTTATGCAGCTGAATTTTTTTGTGTACTTGTATTTTTTTATGAACTTTATGTGTATTACAACTCAGGAAAACAAATTTCATGTATTTTATATGATCGATCAATAAATCTGAATCTGAAAGACCGTATTCACAGTCTGTGCATGAGTGTGGGGCGTGGTTAGCTCATATAGTGCCATTGTTTCTAGTGGCTTGGTGAAAGGAAACACAAAACATTGGCTTGGTTTCCAGTATGATGGTAAATGTGTGGTTTAGATCCCATTAAACATGGACAACCAAATATCACTGGTGGCAAATCCGATATATTGGTGTACTGTATCGTGTTTGTGAATTTCTAAAGCTTCTCTGGTCCGTCTGGAGTGCCAAGATGGTGCAGTGGCTGTCAGTTCGGCTTTATCCCAACATGCACAATGATGCTGTTTGTGGGAGTGCATGAATATAGTTGACTTCTGTTGTTTCCCTCTCCTAGCATCGGTGTTCAGCCTTGTACGGAGATCACGTCCTGTTTCACCAATGTAAACTTTTCTACATTCGCATGGAATCCGATAAACTCCTGACTGGCTCTGTGCTGGTTGATTATCCTTGTGTTTTTGAAGAGTCAGTGGCAGTTTGTTGGGTGCCCTATGAAACACTTTAATATCGGCTTGTTGTGGAATGCGCTCAATAATAATAATAATGTAATTTCATTGGATATTGGTCTAATGTGCAATTACAATAATAATAATGATAATAATATAATAACAATAAATAATAATAACAATGATGATAATAACAATAAAACCATACATATTTATTATTTACTTTGATTTTCCTACAAAACGAATATTTAGATAATAAAAGATTATGAAATTATCGTATATAAAAATACAGATAACAAAATGTAGTAAAAACAATCTGCAAAAGAGTGGATTTTAACCATAGATAATTATCATTAAAATATTTTATTTAAATTACCGTATATGCTCGAATAAGTGCAGCTTTCGAATAAGCGTCACGCTCAAATAAGCGCCGTACCAAGCCGGATTTTTTAAGCTAATTTGCTGCTCTCGAATAAGCTCTGTGGCGTTTAATCGAGAGTTTATATTACCCTGTGTGTAATGAAGCACTTTGAGAAACAGGGATTTAAAAACGATGTATACAGTGTTAGAATGAATAAATAAGGCAATGAAGACAAAAGGCATTTTTCTATAAACATTTATTTACGATGATGTAGGGCCTATGAATGGCCTACTGAACTACGGGAATACGTGAGCTATGTAAATAATGGGAAAGTGCATTTTTTATAAGCGCCGCTTTCAAATAAGCACTGCACTGAAGCCTCCAAAAATTTTGTAAGTGCTGCAGCGCTTATTTAAGCATTTACGGTAAGGGTATCAAAAACATAAAAAATTAAAATTAATAAAATTTAAAAAAATTAGTATTAGGTCTCCTACAATATTTTTCTACTGAGCTTGCAAACTGAAGATAGATTGTGCATGAAAACCAAATGCTTGTGCTTTGAAATTTTTCTCTGCCTAAATATGCGAGTGTGCCCAATAATTGACTATAATCGAAAATTGACTGTGCCTCAAAAACGATTGTACTAAAAAATTAATGTGTTTGAAAGTTATCTATCTTCCATGTAATACTGATTTATTCTTTCGAATATGTAGGTTGCAGCCAGAACTCAGAAAGGCTTTGGTAATTTCTCTGATGTAGGTTATGTGTCTACCAATGCAGATAACCCTGTCAAAGGTACGCAATTTACTAGATGCTTTTGTGTATTTGGTTAAGTGCATCAAGAGCGACAAACCATGCAGTAAAGTGTGCAAACACCTCGTCACTGGCATTATTGACTCCCACACACCTCTTCCTCTATCAAGTCCTCCTCCCCTCACATGTGACTCCTGGAACATTTTCTATATCTCAATATCTCTGATCATTGCTCTTATAGGCGAAGTAGGAACTAAATTCAGATTCCGGTTTACCCACCACAAACAGTCCGTTCGTAAAAAGAGCAAGAGGTTACCTGTCGCCGAACACCTTAACTGTCCTGGCCACTCCATTGACAACATTGGGGCTAGGGGGCCAAGGGCCCCAGGTCGGGGTTCAGGGTTCCGGGGCCATTAAACTGTAATATTATTGTAAACCATTAAACTGTAATATTATTAACATTAAGCTATTAAACTGTAATATTATTAACTAAGACCAATCAACACATAACATAAAACATGTACATATCAAAATTATTATGTTTAATCTTTCCTCATCGATGCTGCATAAAACGTGATTTGGATCTAACATGATGATATTGATAAACAATCGAAATTCTCTGTACAATATTATACTAAACATTAACACAGTGGACTTCCTTATGTTGTGGTCATATTAGACTGTAATATTATTGTTAAAGAAGTCCATTCAACAAAGAACATAAAACATATACATATCAAAGTTATTAGATTAAAGTTCTCATGGCGGTTTCCTAAAATTTGGATATCTGAGATTGAGAGACAAAATTCTTTATACTATATATAGGCTACTAATTTAACATATATGTATGTTGAGGTACGTAAAGTTTAGTAGGTTAGAAGTATAAAGGAGAGGACTTCCTTATGTTGTGGTCATATTAGACTAATAATATCATTAAAAACCATTCAACATAAAACATATCATAATTATTAAGTTAAACTTTCTACTTCAGTGCATGAATATAACGTAATTTTGAGATATATGAGATTTACCTAACATTTGAGAATGTACTGAATATAAAATCTTAAATATTTTACATTTTAATCAGCAATCTATCAGAAATATGAGGATTGGTTATACTGTGAAGCCTCCAATACTAAAACTGGGATCCAACAGGCAGTGAATATTCCAATTTTTAGTGTAGTGTGTCTTTTACATATTTTAAATTTTATTTGAATTCTTTTTATTTTGTATAATTCATATGTTAATGTTTTTCCACATTCATATAAATGAATGCCTGAACTGATATTTTATGGGTATCAGATTACTTACTATACAAAACAGATGTCATAAATCATCTATTGTCCGACTGTGTGCATTCAACATTTGACGACGACAACGATAATGTCTCCAAATTCCCAACCGTAACTCGGGCTTCGCTTGACACTTCACATCAAAGGGCCTGCTAATTAATCTTGCACAGCTTCCTCCTCCTCATCATCATCATCTTCTTCTTCATCAACATAGTTATTAATTGTCCATAGCAAAGTAGGGAAAATCTGTGAATTCAGAGTGTATTCAATAATAGACGTCTCATAATGCACGTAGTGTATTTCAAAGAATCTAGAAAACAAAAACTTTTCGAATATCTAAAATTTATCTTCCAGCGACAAACAAGCTAGCTCTCTTCTCATGACTCTTTCAATATGGGAACCCATCTGTGCGATAGCTAGGGTAAACTCTGGATCCGCGCTTGACCTGTATTTAATGCTTAAAAAAGGCTATATTTACAGAATATTTATTTATAGAAAATAATGTTGCATACTAGAACTATCAGGAAAAAATTTACAGATAAAGGCTCCCGAGGGGGCATAGACACAAAAACCGCTTATAATTCAAATAGCATGCATCATCTGGCACTTTAGCAGCGTGTGCAAGCGATGCATTCGCTATAACAGCGAAGCGGCTTTATTAAAAACTATTTTCTCCATGATAAAACGTCTCTTTGTTATTTTTTTTGTCTCTCAATTTCCAGACGGCTTCGCGGCCCTCCAAAAATGTTTCGCGGCCCAAATTTTAGGCCGCGGACCATTGTTTGCAGAACGTCGCTCTACATCAATCAAACCCCATGTATGTATTTCATTAATATTTTAAAAACGATTTTATGTGTTTGGCATTAATGCATATCTAGTTTATGTGTTTTGGGGGTTTTTTTCAGGTGCTGTTGTTGCAGGTGGTTTGGTTGGAGGCTTATCTGTGATACTTTTTGTAATTGTATTTACTTATTATGTTAAGCGGTAAGTATTTGCGTATACCTTGTGTACATCTTTTTGTGCAAAGTATTCATATATATACCTAAAATAATTGTACGATTTCTTTCAGATTAATTTATTTAATCATATTTTATTTCCTTTTAAATATGTTAGTACAATGTATTGTAAGTCACCTTAGATACAATATTGAGACACTTATGAATATTATCAATAGATACATGAACAAGAATAATTGGTATGTACAGATACGTTAGGTCACTAATGGTAATACTAATACACAGTAAATATAGGTGTTGTGGTACATTATGTGAAATGGTTTAAACGCACATACCTACCTTAAGAGAAATAAGGTTCTTACAGGACATTTGTTACTTTTCATTAGATACGATATAATTGTAGTAAAATGGTATGTAACAACGTAACAAGTAATATATGTTTAATAATTATCATTATAAGTCAATCGTGATATCATCACTGCAACTCCCAATGTTATTTGCCTATTCCCCACCGTCCACTAATTTTTCAATTAGTGGACGCTTGGCTTGATTTTTTTTAGGTTCGTGTGCAAAAAAGAATTCCTGATTTTTTCGTCACCGCGAAGACATCTTGCACCATGATAAAAATTGAATTGTATTTGAATATTACTTTCGTAAAACAAGGTTAATTAGAACCCGAAGAAAGTTACATTAAATTCAATATTAAATATGAACAATTAAGCAATTCCTTGAATCAATGAACCCTAATAATCTAACAAACTGAACGTTTAATAGGAATATTCTAGACCTATTTTAAATACTCAAGGAACGAAATTAGATGTAGAGCCGCTGAGGCCTCCTCCTACTAGCCTAGGCCGTATAGCCAAAGATAATAAATAGCAGAAGATAGAGCAGCTTCCCAATATAGTGGAACATCCGTTCAAATGGCATTGTGGGTACACGGAGAGCAATTTTACCTCATCCGCACAGTGGCGCTATATAGTAATAATAAAGGCGCTGCTCTTGTTCGTTTGTTTCCTTTAGTTTCTCCACTTAGTAAAATGTTCAAATTTTACCTCATCCGCAGGAGGGCGAATGTTCCATCAATTTTAATGCAAATACGCGGAGCAGCTCATTCTTCTGCTATTTAAGTTCTTTGGTATATAGCCTAGCATAGTTATGAAATCATCCCAAGATTTTTACCTGTCAGCACCGATCAAAAAGTTAGTGACAGTGACTGTATTCTCTCTCGAATGATTTGAAAAATGTTTATTTCTTTGACGAATGTTAAAAATTACAAACAAGTTCTTCTAACACAATACAAATTACAAAATAGCCTAGGCCTAGTTATTTATTGTATCCGTAGTACTGCTAATGTGTAGCAAAGACAATAAATAGCAGAAGATAGAGCAGCTTCCCAAAATAGTGGAACACCCGATCGAAATGCATTGTGGGTACACGGAGACAAATTTTACTGCATCCGCGCGGCGGCGCTATATCTTTATAATCAAGGATGCTATTTAAGTTCTTTGCTATGACGTACTCCTCTGGTTTGTTTGTTTCCTGTAGTTTCTCCACTTAGTAAAATGTTTGCAAATTTTACTGCATCCGCAGGAGGGCGGATGTTCCATCGATTTTAATGCAAATTCGCGGAGCAGCTCATTCTTTTGCTATTTAAGTTCTTTGTGTGTAGTTAATGCGTAGGCGCTGCCTACTCCTTGAGCATAAATCAACATACGCACAAAATATAAATACGCACACAGTATACTGATCATATCACCATAGCAACCGATGACACAGTATAGTTGTGGTTATAAAACTAGCAATTAGTAGAGCATGCATCGTACACTAGCTGAAAATTATTATACGAAGGTTAGATTTAATGCATTCAAATATTTCCTTCGGGCCTTGCATGCCCTCAGGAATTTTTTTCAAGCATTAAATCTAACCTTCCTATAATAATTTTCTTATAGTGTACTATGCGGAGCTCTACTAATTGCTTATTAGCCTTATTATTGTTATCAATAATATAAATATTATATTATTGTCATTATTATTAATATTATATTATTATTGTCATTATTATTATTATTATTCATTATCATTATTATTATTATTTATGTTGTTAGTATATTTACTTTTTAAATTATTATTATTATTATTATTATTATTAGATTTTATCGTTATTAGGGCTTATAAATTTATGTTTGCGGTGCACCACCTAGATAGTAAAGAAAAGAACAGTTGTTGGTCAAGAACGTCTCGACGTTTCGATTGAGTCGCGTCTTTCTTCTTCACGAGAATAATGTCTGCAGAAAATTCCAATCAATGAAAGTATATGCTTGGGTAGTGGGACTTGCTGCTGATTGGTGGAATACTAAACAATAACTGAGAGTACATGTGAAAAGGCTAATACAAGAGCCAGTATTTACAATCTGTGCATGAGGGTGGGGCGTAGCTAGAAAACCAAGACAGTGGCATTGTTTCTCGCTGGTTTAAGGGAAATCTAAAAAAAGACATAGTTTCCAGTGTGGCGGGAAATGTGCTGCATTGGTTTAGGTCCTATTAAACATGGAAAAACTTATATCACTGATTACAAATTCGATATCCTGATGAACTGCATTGTATTTGTTAATTTCTATAGATTCTCTGGTCCGTCTGGAATGCCAAGATGGTATTGTGGCTATAATATAATAATAGATTGATTTATATAGTGCAAATAAATGAGGTCTTTATGCACTCGACAATATTGTAGACAAGAAAAAAAAAAAAAAACAATAAACACCAACCTAGCACCCAAACTGATGTATGGGGTTACACCATCACTACCAACCAGAGATCTGTGATGTACTCCGGTTAATAATAATAATACAGTAATAATATTTATTTGGCAAAGTAAAAGTACAATCTTGCCAGGAGCAAGGAATAGGCACGAGCCCAAACAGTAAACTGCCTTTGCTCCATCATCAAAATATACAGTAAAGAAATATTTTTAAAAAAATTAAAAACTTAACCAAATTCCAAAATCCTTATTTGAAAATTAACTCAGAATTTTAGTACCGGTACTGTAAAAAAAAAGGGTACTAAATTTGTAAAATCAAGGAATATTCAAAATAAAAACAGCACAAATCAGTATTTTGCGATCAAGTATTTAGTTAGTTGAGCTTTGAATCAGAAATGGTTCAGGATTTCTGAATTTGTACTGGAAGTTGTTCCCAAAGTCTTGGAAAAATTACAAAAGAGGAATTTAAAAAGGTATTGGTTTTGGCCTTCCAATGTATCAAACGCCCATCACACCTATCACTTGATCTAACAAAATCATTAGAGGAAGCATCCTAACCCGGACCAAACAGCACTAGCTAGTGAAGAAAAACAGAGATATTTTAAAAATGATAAAAATGTAGTTATAAAGAGGCAAATAGAAAAGTTTTGAGTCGCTTCTTGATGTCAGTTTTGTTCAATTAAAATTTTATTTGGTTAATTACTATTACTATCGATGGCCACGTATGGGTGCTCAACAGGCATGGTATGAAATAATTTAAAAGGGTGTAATTTCAGCCAAAACCCAACAAGCTCAATCAATACACCATTATTGTTATTAATACTACTACTACTATTGTTATACTATATATTATTATTACTATTAATTTACACTAAAATTATTATTCTTATCTTTGAAATTATTATTAAAATAAATATTATTAAATATATTTATTAAGTTACAAGAAAAATAAGAAGACAGACCATACTATAACAACAGTGAAAAAGGATACACCTATTTACTACGCCAATGAGAATGTTGTAATGAGCCAAGCAGATGAAGTGACATACGAGACACCGAAAAAAACTGAAGAAGAATCATACGAACAACTAACTTACAATCAACCTGATTCTGATTCCTCTACGGAAAAGGCATTGGACGGCACGTATGAGAATTTACCACCTTCGAGTCCAGAGAAAGTGGTCGAGAATACACACCATGTGAGACCCAAACACCAAGTGGTTACGAGTCTCAGGTACAGATAATCAATACAATATATAATCATTACTATTTCAGTAGGATTTTGAAATCCAACCTCCAAAAATTCAAATTCCATTGAACTAGAAGTGTTCTCTGCACACTATAACATTAAACACACCAAAAGATTTATTAAATTATACAGTTAATAGTACTCACGCATTTAACTAAATACATACTCAGACAAAATAAATACATACGTACACACACACTAATATGCATCATACATCTAAATACATACATACTATTAAATACACCATACGCTAATTAAGACTATCA